TCTCTGACCTTGTAGGTCTTTTTATATTATATAATCTTACTGCATATCATGAAATTAGTATAAATGACATTTGAAAAAAAGTTAACTTCCTTGATATTACACTAGATTTAATGAATAATATATACCTACCTTACAAAAAGCCCAGTAGAAATTCTCAAAACTGTCCTGTTAATAATAAATGCTATATTGAATCAGTAATTTATCAGTGCAATATCTTATCTATTGAAGATCCAGACATAATTAAATTCTACATTGGATGTACATGGAATGAATTCAAAAGAAGGTGGAACCAACATCAAACATCCTTTAATAATAATAAATACCAAAATCAAATGTCCTTATCAAAATATTTCTGGAACTTAAAAGAAACCAATAAAACACCAAGAATAAAATGGAAATTAATAAGAAAAGCTAGAGCTTGTAGGTCATTAAATGACCCATGTCCTTTGAGCATACATGAAAAAATTATACATTAAGTTTCTGAAAAATAAAAATTTACTAAATCAAAGAAATGAAATAGCTATTTTTTTAATGTCAAATATTTTACTTAAGTAATAATTAATTTAAAAAAAAAAAAATTAATAATAAAAAAGAGAAATGAAACATACATTTTTATATTTGATTAAGGACAAATAGTACTTTAAATAAAATTTAAATATTAAAAATATCACTTACACATACTTAAATGACCCTTTTAGAAAATCTTTGTGTATAAAAATATGAATTAAGCAGATGAATAAAAATGCCAAAATTTTTCTTGTCATTGAATACCCAGATGACTGAATAACAAATGTATTTGTTTGTTAGCAGACACCCCCACCCCACTTAAACTTAACCTGGCTTTGTAAGTAACATATATTGGATACATAAACTGTCTAGAGAAATTAAAACCCAACCACCCCTAAATTAAGTAAATTTCTTAGAAAGTTATTCCTAACATCGCTTGACAATGGAACAAAACTGGGTATTAAGTTTAATTTTTATAATTAAATTTATAAATGTAGTTTTAGTTTTGAAACAAATTTTCTGTGTTGCAATGGAATCATATTTTTTTTAAATAATTATAATATTTTGCTCTACTGTTTTTTTTTTGTTTTTTTTAAATAATAATTGCTAAGAACACCAGATTTTACTGTTCTTTCTTATTATTTTAATGTGTGTGTATCTCTCTCTCTCTCTCTCTATATATATATATATATATATATATATATATATATTTGTTTGAATAAAAGACAGACCACGTTAAGATTCCATGTAATAAGCTATTTCACCATAACCCCTTTAACAGGGTTCTGGATCATCAGACTTTACTTCCAAAAGCTGAAATGAAGAATGAAAAGAAAATTCACAGGTTTTTTACGGACCTCATCAAGTATACGCAAAGTTGAGGAAGTGAGGTGGGAGAGAGGATGTGAGTGTGTCATATGTATCATTTTAGTTTCCTATTTTAACCCCAGTGTGTCGGCTGGATGTTGCTCTAATCTAACACGTCTCGTCTCTAGATAAAGGTAGTTAAGGGGTGGCCGATAAAGGCTACATTAAGGAAGACGCGTTACAACAGCCCCAATAAATTACACGACAGGTTTCATTCAAATTCCTAGACGCTGTCAGTTTAGCGTTACTTTAACGTGCATATTTGGGAGGTTAAGGTTTGATAAATATCTAAAATTTTAAAAACAATCTACGAAGAAATTAACTTGAAATTCGGTGGAGTTTTGGGTATTTGACGTGGTCTGTCTTTTATTCAAACATATATGCTCTGAATCTTACATTGAGCTCTCTGGATATCATCCTCCTCAGGTCTACCCATACGGATTACCTAAATTTGAATAAACTAAATATATATATATTCCCATGTAGTTCAAGACATATTTTTGAAGTTTCTTCAATCCTCCCAAAAAAAAAAGAAAAAGAAAAAAATTGATGATTGTTCTACATATATCAATGAAATATTGATCTTTTGAAAGTAGGGCAATGCTGAGGGCTTTTCAGCACCCCCATCATACATTATCAAGACTAATCAATGAGAATTCTGTTACCATGGCTATATTGAAGATTGTTTTTTCTCACACAAATGAGATAATTTTTACTTACATTGAATGAAATTCACATACACACACTTTCTGTGCCATTGTTAAGCATAGCATTTTTCTATTTACTTATGAGTAGATTGCACATCCACAGGTGCCAAAAGGTGTGGGGCAAGGGAAAGGTGAGGTTTTAGGGTGTTTGTTTACAAAGCCTAAACCAGGTGTCTAGATTAACAAAAAGAACTTTCTTTTCATTTGAAAATAAAACAGATCAATAAACTCAAACAGATGTCATTATATAATGATTTTCTGTAAGTAGTTTAGTTAAGTGCCCCAATATCCTGAAGATATTTTTCACAAATTGGACTTGCATTTGCTGAAATATTAGTTAAAAACTTCAAGATGCTGGTTTGTATTACAAGAACTACATTTTTGTATAGTCAACACATGTATATTTATATATAAAGGTTATGGGTAACAGTATGTAAGGTTAATGGTAGGTGGCACCACTATACCTTGATGTCATGGAAATGCCTAAACCTATATCAATTGTGCTCTGACATATCAGGAGTCAATGTGAACTCTGTCTTGACTACTTATGACAAGGCCACACAAATTATTGATGTTCAAACAATGCGTGATAGAATATACCAGATGGATAGAACATTCTATTTTAAAAATCATGGCTACATTTGACATTCCTTGATTTACTGTGTTCTCTTCATACTGGGAATACCCACAAGTCCTTAATGATGTTGGCCAGAGGCATCTGGCAAGAAGTGCCTGCAAGTAAGACAAGTGATATTAGCTCAAATCATCTCCACTTCAATACAGGCTGTATCAGATCTCTCTCTAATATGTCATTTTAGTGTTCTATAGCTTCCATTAGATATGAAAGCAGAAGACCCACCAGGATGGCCCTGTTAACACCACAACACATGGCACAGCATCTTATCTGGACTGAGATATTCTAATTGAACCCTGAAGAACTAGCAATATGTAGCATGGTATGATGAGTTATGGCTGCAGTTGTTTTGGGCTGATGTAAACCTCATGAGGTCATGAACCCAGCTGTCTATAAAGATCCATAATGGTGTGGAGTATGTTCAAATGACATGAGTTGGGCCTGCCTGAACATATCATAAACTTGTGACAGCTATATTACAGTGTTTTGTGATCATTTGCACCCATTCATGGATTCCATGTACCTAAAAAAAAATTGAGTTATTCCAGCAAGATAATATGCTATGTCATTGGACACAAATTACCCAGAATTGGTTGATAATAAAAATAAAAGGTGTTCCAATAACTTAGACTGATTTTAAATGTGAATTAATTTTAAGTGTCTATTTTTTTTTTCTTTCAGATTTAACAACTTAAGTCTTTTGCAATTTCAACCATGGAAAGATTAACAATCAAATAACGTGTTAAAGTTATCGAAGCCTATTACAAAAATGGACATTCAAACAGAAATGAATTTTGTGCACTTCGTGATTTTTTTGGTCAACATAATTGACCAACTGAAAGTGCAATTGGAAACGATGTAACGTTGTGGAGAGGTTCAATTGCTATGTGTGATGACAAGTAGAAATGTCTGGATTTTCAGCCACATTCTTGGGCACTGCAGCAATGTTTTCAGCTGAACAGTGTAAACGAGTACACAATGGTGTTTTCACATCTGCCACCAACCTAGTTTGTTTGAATTTACAAACAATTTTTCCAATATTACGCTTGAAACTTTAACATGTTTTTTTGATTGTTAATCTTTCCATGGTTGAAATTGCCAAAGACTTAAGTTGATAAATCTGAAAGAAAAAAAAAATCATTAGACACTTAAAATTAATTTACATTTAAAATCAGTCCAAGTTATTGGAACACCCTTTATGAGAGCATCATCCATTCTGGATATTTCCAGTAAATAGTGTGGCCACCACTTTCCGCCTAATAATAATAATATTAGCTGTTATACAAAAACATTTGGCCTTGATTGATTTAAGCTTTTCTTCACTCTCTGGCCATCAGGCTAGAATCAAAGTGTAGTATCTGTTACCATCTCTAATAGTAATGGTGTTATTAGCCATTTCCTTATATGGAAACATTTGTTATTCATTGAGTGAGCAGCCACTAATACTTATGGTTGAAATTTATAAAATATTTCACTTAAAACAATTTTTCAGGAAAATAGGTTTCTCTAGTTCACTGTTATTGCTCTTTCCAGTATTGATGGGGATTTCCTTCGTAAACTTTTGGTTGGAGTAGCATGGTATGTTAATATCTTGAATATGTTCTTATTTTCTCTTCAAGTTACATGTGACATCCATTTTAGTTGTTGCTGCTGTTGAAAATCCTCATGTGATCTAGTTTTTGTTATTTGGTACAGTTCTTTGTGATTCTATAATCCAAATCTACAAGGTCCAAAGATGGCTGATCCTCACTAAGACCTACAGGCTTAATTCACTCAAAGCTATTTTTAATCATTGATTTGAGAAAGCCCTTGTATACAGCTGACAGTTTAGATATTTCTGAATAAGTTTGGCACCTCACATAGTATCCATATGAAAGTCTCAATCTGACAAGGTTATTTAAGAACATGATTAGACAATACTAGACACCTGTCCCATGACCATTGGCACATCATTGTATGAATATTCTTGACCTATTATGAATAAACTTTGTAGAAAATTAAAGTAAGACATTTGGAAGAAACACATAGATTTTTGTATCTGTCAGTGAATCTAAGGTTCCAGGAAAATAGCCCAATGTATCTCTATCAACTTTTGAATATTTCCATAACCTCTGCTTGAATTAATAATTTCTGAGACAGCACTAATTGTTACTTTACCAACATGAGAAAGATGAAAAACCAAACTGAATTTGACAGGTTTTGAATTCTCTATTTTATATTTTCAAATCTGCTCTTGTATTCAACCATGTTGAATATGATTTAATAGCCTCTTCCATTTTGGCTTATGGTCACATTGAAACACTTGTTCCCATATGATCACCAAAATTAAGCAATGTTGATTGTGGTCAGTATCTAGATGGGTAACTACGTGGGAATACCAGGTGGTGTAAGCTTACATGTGCAGGTGGTGTAAGCTTACATGTGCAGGTGGTGTAAGCTTACATGTGCAGGTGGTGTAAGCTTACATGTGCAGGTGGTGTAATGGATAATGACTCAGAATTGTTAATCAGAAAGCAGAGGTCCATTTCCAGTTCGGTTTTGTTATATTCCCTTACACACAAATTTAAAACTTTGGGTGATGAGAAATCTGAAAATTTATTATACAATGTTCAGACATTATTCAGATAATAAGATTAATAGTTGTGTTTTCCTTGAAGTATAACTTCCAAAATGTCATCCGGTTGTCATTTCATCCAAATCGTTGTCATCGACTGTGTAAACTTTCAGATGCAATGTTTCTGAAACTTGTACAAACTGACTGAACCTTGGTGCAGATAATCTGTTTGCAGACATTGGTAAGACTTTGAAGATTGACTGTTGAAACTTGTACATTGTAGCTAAGGTGACTTGAGCTGTCTCAAACATCTTGGCCAACAGTAACAATATTACTAACGAAGCCAACATTTTTATCAAAGGCAAATATTGATGCTGTGGCTAATATTACGTCTCATGATGCTGCATTTAATTGGATAGAGAAAGAAAAAAAGAATGGAAACTCGATTTGATGAAAAGCTTCCTATATGCTACTTTCTCTAATGCTACTCAATGTGCAGTTTTAGGATCTTGAACCAAGACTCAATACATCATCAAAGACAAGGACTGCTTCTAAAAATATTAATTTCTTTTTAACCCTATCAAGTCATTTGAATCAATCTTTATCCATCTACATGGCTTTATTTCTCTTTGTTACTTCTTCAACCAGGTTTTATACTAACCAGTTTATGACATATCTTTGATTTCCTCAACCCACACTGTGTTACTCTCTGTTCACACTCCTCCAGACATTAAAACTTTAGTAATGTTAGTTATATGAATGATTTACCATCAACATCTGAACAAAATTACTCTGACTGACTACAGATTAAAAGTACAAGGAATGCACAAAAATCAATGGACTGTCAAGTAAATCTGTAGAGGAAATGATTTTCCATTTCAAATTTTCCTTAATTCCATTTCAGGTTTTAGGGAATTATGTTTTGTTTCCATTTTCAGTGTAGAATTCCTGTTTTTTCCCCTATTTCCAGTATAGATTTCTATTTTTGCTTCATTATAATACTTAAGAAGAAAGTGTAACAATATATAAATATTAAAACAAGAAAATAAAAGGAAAATGGAAAATTTTACTCGCTGGAATATCCACCCATTAGATAAGTTGCTCCAGTTTGATTGGGTTTCATACCTCATGCTTCTGCCCTTAATCTAACTTGATAAGTTTCTCGGGACAACCCTTGCAAAGAATGCTACAATCCTAAATAAGAATTAAGTGAAAATGGAAAAACCTACAGAAAGGTAGCACCACAGATTATTAAAAGAATTAAATAACTTTAGTGACAGTCTGTGACAGAATGGTAAGTCTAGTCCAAAAAGCTGCAATGCTGAAAGGAATTTGGTAGGTCATCTTTGTAGTTTATATAAATTTGCAATTCTTTAGAGTTCAGTAGATGGCACTTGCAAATCTTTGATGTCTGCAAAACTGCCAATATCATGCCTAATATATGGTCACTGTCTAGGATCAAATAGACAAGCTGATTTGTAAAACTCATACACTGGATAAGTATCCAAGCATTTGTTCAACTTTGCAAGTGCTGTACTGAATACATCCTGCAAATTTGATACAACCTTATATAACAAAAATCAGTGAACTGGAATGTTAAATATTATAAACAGAACTTACAACTGCATGTATCGATGGTAATGCTTGTTAAAAACATTTTAAATTCATGTACATAGGTTTTCTTCGGAACTCCAATATCTCTATATGTTTTTCTTAAATTAAAATTTCCCTTTACTATAATCTTTATAAAAGAGAAATCATTGGGTTGAGTCATAAGTAATTCCTGTTTCTGGGAACCAACTTTAATGATGAATGTCTCACCCTAGCTACTGATCATATGTTGTTGTTTTCAATCATTTCACCCCAAGCAAGGCAATAAAGCCAGTAGGACACAAGAAGTTATGAGTGTGAGTGAATATGATCAAAATGTACTCTTAAAGTGAGAAGGCAATAAAAGAACAAGAATTAAGAAAACAGAAAATAAGGATTGACAATGCATTTAAATTTTTGAAGATCAAACTTGACAGGGAAGAAAGAAACCGGAAGAGAGTTTTATAAGAGAGAAGTATAGTAGAAGAAACTGTTAGCATAGAATTTAGTTACATCTAACCATTTCAACTGTATGATGATGAAACCTAACAGCCAATCTAGTACTTTAACCACCTGTCATTATCAAGAGCCATCTGCTGTGAAGTTTAGTTGGTATGATTCCATTGGTTACATCCTGGTATTTTATAGAGCTGAGAGTTTGAATCAATCCAAAGTGACATCATGTGTAACAGTCAAAACCACACCAGAAAGAATTCATCAAACATAATGCATTTTTTTTTTTTTTTCACCCATATTAAATATCTTATACAAACTTCAAGATGTTATATCCTGTGAGGAAAGATATTTAATGTAGGTTGTTTCTTTTTTATAATACTAGACTTGCTTCAGTATCTGTCTATATTTCTGAGATGAGGTATTATGTACACAAGGATACATGGCACAGTGGATAAAGGCGTTAGTTAGATCCAATGACAGAACCCAAAGAGTGTGAGTTCAATACCTGGTTAAGAACTTGGAGAGGGGAATTAACAGGAGATAACTGATAACGGACATCCATTAAATATGGCACATGGAACTAGAACAGTCTACACCAGTGAGCAAAATAAAGGGTTCAGTTCGACATTCCAACCAGCTGAAGAAGGCTGGAGCATACAACAGCCAAATTGTTGTAATAAATATGGCGACAAAGATGAGGACAATAGTCTGAATGATGTAAATAGTGTAGTCTTTGCTTGCATTGCGTGTTGTATGGTATTTGGTATTATCTACTAATATTTGTTTTATGTTAGTAGTTGTATTTTGATTGTTCATGATGTGCTGATCAGTTTTGACAAGTGGCATGGTAATCTACAACAGAGTATGGGGTGCATGTTTAATTGATGTAAGAATTTAATGTTGTATTTTGATGGTTGATGTTGAGGATGCAATTTTCCAGAAGTAATTAGAATTCCTACAAACCTTTTTACATAGGGTTCCCCTCCCCCATGTTATTGGTAATAATTGGTTATATGTTTTGATAAATCTAAGGTGTTTGACAGGACTTTTAAGTGATATGTATCAGCAAATTATATTTTTAATTTTTTTTCTTTTTTCATTCTTTTTTATAATTAGAGTGCATCTGGTTGTGATAGAATAAGTTAATGGCAAATTTATTTTTGTTTATATCAGAGGGATTTGCTTGTATTATTTATTCTAAATTTCATTAAGGCTAATTTTATTTATTCATTGACAACATCATTGGGGAAGTTATTGTTGATAAGTATTTGCTTTATGTTGCTTAATTCTTTATGAAATAATGTATACAAAAATTATTTCAGAACAGTTAATCTTGATATTTTTTTTTATTTTTTTTTTATAATTGCTATTTTGTTTGTGTGAAGACATTCACTTTTGTAGTTGATGAGTTTCTACTTGTGAAATTTGATGAAGTAGTAAAATTATAACTGTTAGCATCAACTAAAACATGGAGGACAGGGATTCTATTATTAATAATGAGTTCTTAAAATGTAGGATGGTGTTATTCTCAAAGGTGTTTTTAAGGTGTTTTTCTTTTGTCTAATTTTTTTGCTCGTATGAAAATGTTATCGATGTAACAAACAAAAATGAAGGTTATAGCAAAATTGTTGAATGGTTGTTTTCTACATGTGTTATATAGAAATTAGAAAAAGTAGGCCAGAGAGACAAACCCATTGCTATGCCAACAGTCCATGTGTTGATATTGCCATAATGGTTGTGTCATGCAAGATAGAAGTATATATAGAATGAGGGATGATTGTATACTCTGTTTATAGTTTCTTTGACTGGGGCATTGGTGAACAGGCTTTCAACATCTAACAGGCCTGGGATGCCATTATTTGGCTTATTGGATTGTAATATGTCAAAGAATTTGTTAGTAAAGTTGATGCTTACTAGGTAAATATGGTAGTATCGATTGGTTACAAATTTTAGTTAAATGATATACAGGAGTTGGGATTTGTGAAATTATGGGTCTTAGTTTTATGTGTTTTTTATACCCCCATATCTGGCTTTTTTATTTAACAACTGAATTGCTCTCTGTGTTATTAAATCTATATTTTCAGGCTTCGACCTAGAGCAGTGGTCATAGCTTTTGGTTTTTTATTTATTTTTTTTTTTTTCACCCCTAATTTTGTGGAGTTTGAGAGATCCAGTTTCTGTCAAACTCCCAATCACCACACCTTATAGAACAATTTGATTGCAGAAACCTCATCAAATGCTTTACATGCCATGAAGTGTGATGTAGACAACACACACACCTGACATCCTAATGAAAATATATAAAATCTTCAGTTATTTAAAATTTTAGGTATGATGTCTTTGGTGAAAGGGCAAATGGCAGAGGATGATAGACATAAAATAGATAAGTAGTAGTCTATAAGATCTAGAACCGTCATACGAGTTTTGATATTTCTGTCCTAGGATTAATAGGTCTTCGTTTTCTTGGTAAATGCTACTGCCTTATTTTGGTTTTTGCATCAGCAATGTTACACTCAGTGTCTGAATGGACCATTAATTTTTGAAAGAGCTTTTTCAAAAATCTAATTTTCCCAGCTTTTAAATTTTTTTTTTTTTTTTTTTTCATTTTCTTTTCTTTCCCAGAGAGTAGGACATTTTGATCCAGTCACTCGCACAACACTGACAGAAGACAATCTCATTCCAAATCTGGCCATGAAAGAGGTTATTGATGCCTTCCTAGAAGAAAACCCCTGGGGAGAGGATTACTGAATGGATTTCTGGGGAAACTTCTGGCACTCCACCATCACCACCACTACCAAAATATTACGGACCACCACTACCCATATGACAGGCAGTTGAAATAATGATAATAAATGTATAAAAGTAGTGAGAATATTTTGGGAGATGGGAGGGGGAAGTAATATTAAAAAAGAAAAAAAAATTGAATATCCCCTCCCAGGTATTTTATGCTTAAATATTCCTTTTCTGTGGTTGAAGATAAATTAAAACCCACAAAATAAATAAAGAGGAAAAAAGTGTGTGAAGGTTTCAATTGAGAAAATTCCATCAGTGTGCTGTTGGTAAGTAAATAAGGTTGGTAATACTTTCTTGACCTTAAATTTTTGATCCACTTTTTCCTGTTGATAACTGTTACAGCAAACAAATCACAAACAAATTTTGTAATGAGAACATAAAAAGAAAACATTTTGTCAATTGGTTGAAGGCTGGAGTTTGTTTTTTTTTGTTCCTGCTTTGTAAGTGGCAATGGAACCACCTTACCAAAAGTAACAAATTTCTTTCAGCTTTGACTTTTTTCTTCTGGCAGTTATCAACTAACATTTCAATATTATTTGCAATTATTGAAAAATTTCCTGCACAATTTCAAAAATATTTTCATCTTAAAAACAAAAGTTTCTAATGTATGACAGTCGAGGATGGAGAAAAATCCTTTCTGGGAAAAGCAAAACTTTTTTTTAAAAAATAACTAAAAAGACATTCTCTCTTATTTTCCACAGCCACTGAGTAATGCTTTTATTTGTTATCAATGTGTTTTGTTCCATTAATTAATATTTGGACTGTAAATTCAGTACGAGTGGAAGAAGATGACACAAAACAAAAACAATGTATTGCTCATCTTGTTGACTTGTTTAACATCAAAACCAATTACTGAAGCTGGATGCATCTGGTTTCTTTATTTAACAACTGAATTGCTCTCTGTGTTATTAAATCTATATTTACAGGCTTCGACCTAGAGCAGTGGTCATAGCTTTTGGTTTTTGATTTTTTTTTTTTCTCATATTGATTTTACTCTATTTAACAACTGAGGGAATGAAGACCAACATTAAAATATTTTACAAGAAATAAAAACAAATTTGGGTATTAAATACCTTGATATGAGGACTTGGTTCCAAAGTGGACAACATTTATTTAGGAGATGCCTTTTAACCATACATAAGTTTTTGTCATTATTTCTAGAGAGGGGCTTTTTATTTTACTTTTTGTATCTTTATGTAAATTGTACTTCAGTCCACAAGGATCCCCCTCCAAAAAAATCAAGAGATGATGATGTTCATGTTTTGACAATTGTTTTTAGGAATCTGGAAGTGGAAATTGGAACTGAAGTTATTTTGTTTGTGAGTCAAACGATTTCTTTCTATCAACATTAGATTTGTGTTGTTTTTTTAGTATTTGTCATTTTTACTTCAAGTAACTAGATTGATATGTGAAAATTAAACAATTGTCAAAATCATTTGACTTACGTAATTTATGTGGAATGAGTTACTATATGCCCAAAGAAATAAAAGAAAATGCCATTTCCGAAACTCTAAAACATTCAAGAAATTTAACCTTGAGCACTCTGCATTATTAATATTACTTCCTTTTCTACTGCTTTCTTTTTCAAGGCCTCTCAATTGCAGTCTCTCCTTATTTTTTTTTATTTCACTCAAGTTGTTTTCTGTTGCCATAGCAGGATATGACAACACAACTATGAAATTCAAACCTGCTATTGTTCAGAGTCACCTTCAGTGGCAGGATAAAATTTTTTGTACAGCAAATGAAGTCACAGCGTAGTAAAGGTTAAGCAGAAGCAATTTCGATTTTTCTTTTTTTTCTAAATAAAATTTTAAAAAGTAATTTTCTTTTTACCTTTGCAAAACATAAACTGTCAAGTTTTTATCTCAGGTGAATTTGCTTTGGAAACCTGTGAATGCCACAGTCTTTTACACCCCCTACCCAACTCTTTTCTGGTTATTTGCAGAAAACTGTCCAAAATAGATTTTTTTTTTTTTTCCAAAAAGCAGTTTTCTATTTGCTTTCCTCCTATTTATGGATCCATGGAAGCATCTGAAAATACTTCACAAGAAGCATTTACCTATGACATTTTCTAACAAAATTTTATACCATTTCGGTGTTGTAGATTTTTATATAAGTGGTTATAAATCACCAAGAGGGAAATTTCTTTTGTTGAATCTTGAATGTTTTCATTCTTTTCTGTTTGTTTATTCTCAGAAAAAAAAGAAAAAAAAAGTATCATAATAATAAGAATATGGCATCAGGACTGTAAAGGGATTCAAGTTAAAGCTGGTCTTGTATGCTTTTATTTTGAGCTAGTTCTTTTTGAAACCCACAAATGTAACATGCTTCCTTTCACTAAGAGAACTGGGTACTCAAAAATCATTCCAACCATATTTGCTCTGTGAGTGCTAAACTTAACCCCTACCCACTGGATAGATGTAAATTTGAATGATGGTGGGATAGAAGAAAATAAAAGTTTTTTTTTTTTTTTTTTTTCTTTTTTTTTTTCTGTGTTGAACAGGATAGTATTGTACATCCTGTCCACAAATCTTCAGGCCATGATATATTCAGCGTGGGAGTTTTGAACAGTAAATCCTTTAGCCTCTGCTGAAAGTCCTTAATACTAAAGCTAATTATCAAAAATGTCTCTCATGCCTGGAATTTTGGAGATAGGAGTGAGGTGGAGAGAATGATATTCTTCACAGTCTGATTGGTTTTGGAAAAATCAATCATATATTTTGTTAACTTTACCCATCCTGTGTTCCAATTTTATATGCCGACATTATATGAATATATTCCTGTCTGTAATTATATTCTTATAGACTGACTGAACAGCAAAATTGGATTTAAATATGAAAGCAGACCAATCCCACTTAAGTGTGGAAGTTTCTTTGTTATAATGCAATGCAGTATTTCTTGTTGATTCAAACATGATCAATAATTTTTCTCTCCCAAGTTGGTGTAACATGGCTCTTAAATTTATGGGGGGGGGGAACCTTTGGAATTGAGATGCAGCATATAACATTTTGCCTTGGTAGATACACAAAACATTTATACTTTGTTGTCATGAAATAAAACTTTTTCCCTGATAGTCAAAGAAAAGTGTTTAAATGATAATTTTTTTTTGATATTTTGAATTTTTTTGACACAATAAGCATGTATTTATATTAACATTATCTAATTAAACATTTTCCAAGCAATTTCTCCAATTTGGACATTAGATGAATATTTAAAACTTTAGAAATAAGACAATGTTAATAATCAAATATTAAAGCTATTTTAAAATAAAGAATGCTATTAAATGATATTAACATTTGTAGGTGCTCAGGTAAAACTGGCTTATGAAATTTTACTGATCTTTTATTATTTTTATTTATTATGCAGATTTTATTAAATTTAGAATATTTTATTTTCATCTTTTAATTATTTATTTTTAATTTAAAAACAAATTTTAAATTTAAAATTTTTTAAAATTTTTAATTACAAATTTTTTAAAAATTCATTAATTTTTTTTTATTGATCATTTTCATTATTAATAAAAAGAAATATATATCTGCATCCAGAGACAATCATTTCTCTCTAGCTAAATGTAAATTGACAATTTTTTTTTCTTTCAAGATGGCAGCTTCCTTTTGACACTCCATTTTTTGCAGGCACAAGTTTGCCAAAAATTCTTTATGAAAAAGTTAATCATGTTAGTGTGTTGGATTTTGTTGATCCTTTAACATGTGTTTGTCATGTTTGCAGTAAAGGTGATTCAGGGCAATTATTATTTCTCAATGATATTTTGGGAATTTTCTCCTCAGTTGTTCTGGGAAGGTTTTGTCTGTATTTAATAATTATAATAATTGCAATTATAAAAATAGGTACTTTTGTATTTTTTTTTAATAAAGGATCAGGTTAGATTATTAAACAAAAAATTTTAAATATTTTTAAATCACTAATAAATATTCATTTTTAAAAAAAAATATAGTTATATTAATAACTAAACAATTTTTTAGTTAAAGAAAAAAAATTGGCTATCGATAATAGGAAAATACCTAAGATTATTATATTAGTAAAATTACAATAATAAAATAAATGGTAAATACAGGAGATAATTTGGAAAATTTTTATTTTCACATGTTTCAATGATCAAACATTATCATCATCAGAAATATGGATTTTCTCTTGTCCAAATCTACATTAGTGAATCAATGTTATATTAATCATATGAACACTAGATATTTTTTACTTTAACTATATCATTTTTTAAAATTAGATTTTACTTATTTCAACTTGATTTTTATTTATATATCCATTCATTTTACAAATTATTGTATTGAGGCAATTCATTTAAATTTTGAAAAAATATAAAAAATAATGTAGCGTTCATGTGACTAACATGAATCCTGTTCAGTCTCACTAATGTAGATCTGGTTGAAATAAATCCATTTTTTCTGATGACGTTAGATAAGTGAAACATGTCAAAATAAGTGCTTTCCAAATTTTCTATTATATTTACCATTCTGTCAGATTCTCATCCAAATTTAGATCAAGAAATCTGAATAATAATAATAATTGTTGAAGCTATGAAGCTGAAAAGACCAAACGACCATATTAGTATAAATTGGTACAAAATATGGTATTGGTAAATAAAGTCTAAGTTCTCTGCTAGAAAAAACATTATTTAGGAGAGAACAGCAATAATAAGAAAAAAAATCATTTAGAAGAGAACAATAATAAAACAGGAATGAAGAAAGCAATTGACATTGCATTTAAATTTTTGAAGATTAAACTTGTCAGGGAAAGCAAAAAGCCAGAAGAGAGTTCCTTTAGCAAGAAGAAATTGTTAGCATAAAGCTTAGTTGCATCTACCTATTTCAATTGTAAAATGATGAAACCTAGCTGCTAAACTAGTACTGTGACTGAATTCCTAAAGTCTAGGTACTATAGAGGAAAGTTCATCAAAACAATTATCATGAAAGTATTTA